GTGTTTGAGAGAGGCGGGGCATAGAGGACCTACAATAATGTACAGTATTTGAAAAATAATGTGTTTTTTGAACATTAAAGCATGTCAACATATTCTGTTACACCAAATACACAAAATAATGATCTTTAAAATAGCATCATATGACCCCTTTAAACTAAATATTGGATGTAACCCGTGTATTTCTGTGCACATACCAGGGCCGTGTTCTTTAGCTTCTTCACACTGCCAGGTCTTCAGGTGCGATTGAGGAGTTTCATCAGAAGCAGCAGCAGCTGTTGATACCGAAGCTGCTGCTCTTTCAGCTTTCAATGCTAGCTTCTTTTGCCGTTTCTTTTCCTTTTTCTCCTTCTTCTTTTCGCGCTTCAGTTTCTGTTTCTGTTTCTTCCTGGCCTTTTTTTCTCTGGATGGGGAAGCGGAGCCGGAAGATGATGAAGAGCTGGATGGACTTCTCCTTTTCTTCTTTTTTCTCTCTAATTTCGGATCAGACGTTGGGAGACTTTTATTGTACGTACGTGTAGTGTCACCACAAATACAGTAATTTATGAATACACAATGCCTTCTGTTGTCTGATTGACAGTTCATACACTTTCTCTTACGTTCATGTCTCTTCTGAGGGCTTGGACTGGATCTCCTGGCGCTTGATGATGACAAGCTCCTGGATTTGCTCTCATCTCGGTGTCTGCTCTTAGATCTGTTATCAGCATCACTCCCTCCCATGAGTAATAATCTACTTGTGAAGCACACAGGAAAGTATATATTATATTTGCATGGAAGCCTATTACACCATGGGATAAAAAAATAGAAAAGGTAATTGCAATATTTTTCTCTCACAATTTACTTTTTTTTATCAAATTTTTTTCTTGCAATTGAGGGAAACACACACACACACACACACACACACACACACAGAGCCCTGTCAATGTTGAACATGTCATTTTTTTCTACATTACTAGCCTGTCATCTTAACCGGGAAACCCACAGAGGCAGAGTCAAAAAGTAACTTTTCTTTGTTTACATCTCAAGACAAGTCTTAGTCACGTGACACTGAAGACTGGAGTAATGATGCTGACAATTCAGCGTTGATCGCAGCAATAAATTACATTTTAAAGAATATTAAAACCGAAAACCAGTAGTTTAAATTGCAATAATATTTGACAATATTACAGTTTTTTTCTGTATTTCTGATCAAACCAATGCAGCCTTAGTGAGCAGAAGAGACTTTTTTTTTTTTTTTAGACATTACAAATCTTACTGATCCCAAACTTTTGAACGGCAGTGTATATCAGTATATCATGTACTCGTTCCTGAGATGTGGGGCGGGGCCAAACGTGTAGCCACACCCACTGATCGATCAGTAGACACGCCCCACATGCAGCTCCGCCCGGTTCTGTTACACGAGTTCAGTATTCAGCCATTTTCTAAGCGACCCCTCACATTATTAAATACAGCCTACTGCATCTGGTTACAAGAAACCACTTAATTAAGAAAAACACTCGTGAATATGAACCATCATTCCTGGCAAATGTTAAAGTAAAGCATTCTCTTGCTGGTTTAACCGATGCTGCCTTTGCACTGCCACCTATCGTTTCGGAGAATAATGCAATGAACGTGAAGAGGTCACCTAACTCGGTTCTGGAGGGCAGTGTCCTGCAGTTTAGCTCGTTTGCCTCAACACACCTGTCTAGCATGCCTAGTAAGAGCTTGATTAGCTGGTTCAGGTGTGTTTGATCAGGGTTGAAGCTGAACTCTCCAGGACCGAGTTTGGAGACCCCTGATCTACAGCATAAACAAGGCTTCAGAACCGCAGCGCATTGCATTTGAGACAGACCCCGAGCTGCAGGCGTGCGGAGTGTTAGCGTTACATCTCTTCCGGGTCTCTAACGTTACTTATCTGATATCAAACGACGCCAGCACATGCTTCAGCTTACTTATAGTGACTCCGTAAGTGTCGCCAATTAATACTTACTCGTTCACCAATCCAGAATGTTTTCTTTCTGCTTTGTAAGAGCTTTAAATCAAGAGAAAGCTGTACGTGTGCACTCTGCAGTCACACGAAACAAACAACAACAGCATTCCGGAAATCCGGTCTTCTTCTTCTTGTTTTATGGCGGGTGGCATCCAACGTTAAGGTGCATTACCGCCACCTACTCCACTGGAGTGTGGACCAGAGTGACTAACAGAACTTATATATATATATATATATATATATAAAATAATAATTTTCATAAACACACCAAAAAAAAAAACATTATTAATAATAAAATAACAATTATACTTTATATTCTATTTATCGGAAATCCGTTTTCGTCCGCTTTTCAAAATAAAAGACCTCGTGCTTTCTTTTAAATAAATACAAATATAACTAAACAAATAAACCGATGTTTTAAATAACTATATTATACAATATGCTTTAAATTTACATTTATGCGGACGCATTTATCCAAAGTGACTTCCAACGCATTCAGCGCCATGCTCTACTATTTGAACTAAAGGAAAAAAAAATACCAATAAAATCCATATTCATAAGACAAATAAAAATACAACCTAGATTTTAACCAAAACTTAATGTAGCGATTGAAATATAAACAGGCTCAAAGGATTCAAATAAAACATCAGTTCACATGTGACACATTTATTGTAGTGCTTGAAAGGCATTACATGTTAGTATGCAAATCAATTATGATCAACAACACTTATCACTGGAGCATACAGCCAAAAAGAAAAAAAAGCACCAACTTGGCTAGATTGTCAAATTATCTCTCCTTTTCTAAGAGGTTCTGTATGTCCCCATCCACGGCTCCTTTACCGTCACTCTTTGCACCCTCAAAAGGCCAGATAAAGGAGGAATAATAATAAAAAAAGAAGCAGTGATGGAGCCGTTCAGTCACAAACACCCCTAAATGAATAGACTGTTGTTGTAAAGGTTATTTGGTCAGTTATCTTGCATGCCGACTCACAAGTATTGTTCATGTGACCGCAAGAACACAAGGTAAACGCAACCGCACGGTCTAAACGCTGACTGCAGTTGATGTAGAGCATTGCTCAAGTGTTTCTTGTTAATAAATATGCTTCAGAAATGTCTGGCAATCTCCTATTATAATACTTAAACATACAGAGAGCTGAAAAAGCAAAGCTGTAACAGTGTAGTGTTTAAAGCTTGGCCGGGTAACTGAAAAAACATACACTATCTGAATGAAAAAGCACATTCATTTTCCTCAAACCTTTAAATATATTTAACTAGACTATAATGGGACTCAAAAATAGCCATTCAAAATACCGTATTGGCCCGAATATAAGACGACCCCCCTTTTGCCAGATGTACCTTTTGGAAAAAGGCTTTTTAAAACCCAAATCTTGTTTTTTCTCAGTAAAACACATTTTGTCTTCAATTATTTTCATATTGCATATTTTTCCTATTTTAATTTTTGTTTTGAAAGTATGGTAAAAACTGGTAAGATGTACCAACAATCACATTAAAAAAATATACACTTTTTGATAGACCATAAAAACCGGTAGCGCATCTGAATTAGGACGTTTAGGCTATCCGTCTAATAGTAGCCTACCAAAATCATATTAACAGTAGAAGTTAAATCTTACTGTAGTCTTCAAATCTGGGTACTGTCTTACGTTTACGTATTTCACGGCACACTCGTTTTATGTGTATTTGGCGCCACCTATTGTTGTGTGTGTATTATCGACATGTCAAAGTCTAGACCCCGAATATAAGACCACCGCGTTTTTTCAGATGTATTTCCAAGAAAAAAAACATCGTCTTATATTCGGGTCAATGCGGTATTGATTTTCCACCAGGAGCCCCTCAAAGTGAAGTGATGTTATGAGGACGCTGCCATCCGAACTCGCTGAGGGGGGGTTAAAACGAGGCTTTTCGCTGCCTTGATTGTGTTTTTCATCAGCATGGCTACGGTCATGGGTCCAACACCGCCTGGAACTGGAGTAATGTAGCTGGCCTTCTTTCTAACACCTGTGGAGACGTACATCAACAGTCATGTCAAAAAAACTAGACGAGTAAACCTGGGCGTTAGCTCGGCAAAGCCTTGTCTGAAAAGTTGAAATCGCTTTGAAAATCTTGTTTTGAAAGTTTCTCTGAGAAGTGCAATATAGCGGATATGTTTTCACGTGCTTCTTTTGCTAGCATGACTTTGAACGTTGCTAATATACGTTTCTAGCATGAACTGGCACATTACTAGCATGTTTAAACACGCTGCTAGCATGATTTAACACATTGCTCACATGATTTAGCATGTTGCTGGAATGTTCCTAGCATGTGATTTAATATGTTGTTAGTTTCTAACATTAACACATTGCTAGCATGATTTAACACAATGTTTCTATATTTAACATGTTAGCCGGTTTGTAACATTAGCTCATTGCTAAAACGTTTATAGCATGATTTAACACGTTAACATTTTAACATGTTGCTAACATGATTTAACATAGCTAACATGTTTCTAAATTTAAGACATTGTTAGCATGTTTCTAACATTAGCTCATCGCTAACATGATTTAACACGTTGCTAGCTGATTTCTAACATTAATTAGTACATTGCTAACATGTTTTAGCACATTGCTAGCATGTTTCTAGATTTAACTTAACATGTTTCTAACATTAGCTCATCGCTAACATGATTTAACATTAACATTTTAACATGTTGCTAACATGATTTAACATAGCTAACATGTTTCTAAATTTAAGACATTGTTAGCATGTTTGTAACATTAGCTCATTGCGAACATGATTTAACATTAACATTTTAACATGTTGCTAACATGATTTAACGCGTTGCTAGCTGATTTCTAACATTAATTAGTACATTGCTAACATGTTTTAGCACATTGCTAGCATGTTTCTAGATTTAACTTAACAGGTTTCTAACATTAGCTCATTGCGAACATGATTTAACATTAACATTTTAACATGTTGCTAACATGATTTAACATAGCTAACATGTTTCTAAATTTAAGACATTGTTAGCATGTTTGTAACATTAGCTCATTGCGAACATGATTTAACATTAACATTTTAACATGTTGCTAACATGATTTAACGCGTTGCTAGCTGATTTCTAACATTAATTAGTACATTGCTAACATGTTTTAGCACATTGCTAGCATGTTTCTAGATTTAACTTAACAGGTTTCTAACATTAGCTCATTGCTAACATGTTTCTAACATGATTTAACGTTGTTAACATTAACATGTTGCTAACATGATTTAACATAGCTAACATGTTTATAAATTTAAGATATTGTTAGCATGTTTGTAACATTAGCTCATTGCTAACATGTTTCTAACATGATTTAACGTTGTTAACATTAACATGTTGCTAACATGATTTAACATAGCTAACATGTTTCTAAATTTAAGATATTGTTAGCATGTTTGTAACATTAGCTCATTGCTAACACGTTTATAGCATGATTTAACACGTTAACATTTTAACATGTTGCTAACATGATTTAACATAGCTAACGTTTCTAAATTTAAGACATTGTTAGCATGTTTCTAACATTAGCTCATGGCTAACATGATTTAACGCGTTGCTAGCTGATTTCTAACATTAATTAGTACATTGCTAACATGTTTTAACACATTGCTAGCATGTTTCTAACATTAGCCTATTGCTAACACGTTTCTAACATGATTTAACGTTGTTAGCATGTTTCTAACATTAACACACTGTTAACATGTTTATAGCACGACTTAACACGTGGTTAGCATGCTTCTAACACTGATTAGCACATTGCTAGCATGTTTCTAACACAATGTTGCTAACATTTCTAACATGATTTACCATATTGTTAACATGTTTCAGCACATTGCTAACATGATTTACCATGTTTAGATGTTTCTAGCATAATTTAACACTGCTAGCATGTCTTAGCATGTAACTAGCATGATTTAACACTTATCAATGTAAGTCGAAGGGAGATTTTCAAACAATAATCTTAAAATTCCTTAATTAAAAGCCAAAAGAAACGGCTACTGAAAACAGACAGACTCCCAAGACACAGTTCAGGCTGAACTAAAAGCAGAAAATCTTTAGAAATTATATACAATATTATAAACTATATACGGTAAATAAAGTGCAAGTACAAAGACTATTTTAACCAAGATTTTCAGAAAGGCTTAGATTACACGAATCGCACTTCTAGTTCCTTCCTTCTCACCTTCAAAGTCCACGTCACCAACAAGTCTATTTTTCCCAGTCAAGGGGTCCAATATTCTGTTGATGCCCACATCTATAACAGCTGCACCCTCCTTTATCATATCAGCAGTGATGAGGTTGGGAATACCTGAAGGGAGGTAATAGTGTTTGTGAATCTTGGTCCCGGTGAGCACCACCTAGTAATAACAGGCATAGCGGTAAACATGCACGAAATGGACATTACAAATAGAAATTCAAACCTGCAGCAGCGACGATAATGTCTGCGATCTGTGTGTGCTGACGGAGCTGCTCTTTGGGAGTGTAACGGTGGGAGATGGTCACTGTGGCATCACCTAAAAACAAAAGAGGCAGGACGCTTTACACAAATTGCCTTGTAAGACCAAAGCTCATCAGAACTGCACACAAATACTTCTGCTTTGCTTCTCCTCTCCACACACAGACTCACCTCCTGGCCTTTCATGTCTGCCGTCTGTGTGCAGCAGCATTGCAATGGGCATCCCGACATTCTTGGAGCGACCAGCCACCACCACATTCTTACCCAGCGTCTGTATGCCTATGAGACAAGACCGGTTCAGTCAGCATCATCTGACAGGATCAATACAAATACAAGATGGTTGTTGGCTGTGTAAGACTTGCCATCACAATGCCAGGGTGTTGCGCTGATGTTGCTAAAGTGTTCTAGATCAGGGGTTCACAAACTTTTTGTCAGCCGAACCCCTTTTACACGTAAACTATTTACTTGAAACACTCCCTGAGATTTTAAAGGCAATAATATTCATTAATAGAACATCTTTGCATATTAACAGTTCTCTGATGTTGGTCAGATAAAATATAAATTTTTTCAGTAAATGTTTTATTTTGATTGCTTTTCTATTTCATAGGGTTGCACGACGTCATACA